CAATGGGTTATATATCTCAGCCAGAGTGGAGGCACTGCAGGTTCTTAGGATGGACCCCTGTACCTCCAGGCTGTTGCTAATGCTCAACCTTAGGCCTGGCTTGCTTTTCCGCCCTATTTAAAGCTAAGACCCCAGTTCCAGGCAGACCTCTTCTTCCAGGCAGTCCTCCAAGATTACTCCAGGTAAGGTGAGCACTCCCCCTCACAGAATGCTGTGCATGCTCAGAAGCAGATGCTTTGGCTAGGAGAGGAAGTCCTCACCTCACTCTCTCATCCAGGATGCGGGACAGGGCCAGGCCTCCTCCCAGGTGCGGGCCGCAAGGTGAAAATGCTGAAAGCCTGCTCAAATGTTATATATATATACTACATATATTTAAAATAAATATATTTTGTATTTATTTCAGGGAGGAAGGGAGGAGGGAGAGAGATGGAAACATCAGTGATGAGAACCATTGATTTGCTGCCTCCTTCACACCCCCTACCTCGAGCTACCACCTGGGCATGTGCCCTTGACGAGAATTGAACCTGGGACCCTTCAGTCCGCAGGCCTAGGCTCTATCCCTGAGCCAAACCATCTAGGGCTGTCACATATATTTTATTGAGAACTTGTCTCCCGCCAGTGAGCTTTTCCGAGCAGCAAGTTTCAAACCGGCTCGGTTTGCTGACGAATGTAAGACACGGTCCTTGGAAGCCTCCCACACACCCGCCTGTGGTCCCCGCGCGAGGGCGGGTCTTCCCACCGCCGTGTCACATCCACCCATGACTTCTGGCACCGCGCACCTTGCAGACTTCCCGGGTTTCAGGCGTCCGCTGGGCGGCCGCTGCCGAAGAGCTCGAGCAGGAGAGAAATGGGACTCGGGGCTCGGCATCGCGAGCCCCTTCCCCAAACCTGTGGGCTCCCTCCCTGTCGCCAAAGATGCGGGGTTCAGAGAGGGCGTGGCCGCACGGGGTTTGCTAGAGAGACCGAGGACTGGGCCCAGGGGTCTCGGGAGGTCACAGGCGAGGAGTAGAGGAGCTCTAAGGCAGAGTCTGGGCGCGGGTCCCAGGCGTGGGCAGGGGTTCAGCAGCCAAAGGGTTAAAGCCCCGAGTCCCGCCCCGGCCCGGAGATTGGCGGCCCCGGGGGGCGTGGCCAGGGGCGGGCCCGCATTTGCCGCAGCTGCAGGTGGGCGGGGCCGGGCGGGGAGCGGGAGGGGCGCCGAGCGGAGCCGGGCCCGCGCCGCGCGCCCTGCCGGGCGGGCTTTGGGCTGCGCCAGCGAGCCGGGCCGGTGGCTTCTGCCGCGAAGACCCCGCGCCGGACCCTGGAGCCACGAGTAAGTGAAGCAGGCCCGCCGCGGCGCCCCTCTCCGCTTCACCCATCCCCGTGCCCTCTGCGCCGCGAGGCTCCTCCGGCGGGACCGGAGCTGGGGAGGGGGCGCGTCCCGCTGCTGGGGTGTGGGGGGGAGGGGAGTGGAGATGAGTCCGATGATGTCATGGATGCTTCGTCGGGCCTGGGGAGCAGTGGAGGCCGGAGGGGGTGCGGCCCGGATTATGTCACCTCTCCCTCTGCGCCCCGCCCCCCGGGGCCACCCGCGTTGGTGGGGAGCGCGGGGAGCTAGGCCGGGATTCCCCCCACCGCAGAGACCCCCTGGGCATCTTCTCGGGACGGCCTGTGGCAGGGGTCTCTCTGGCGCTGCAGGGCTGTGGGCTGTAGGTGAATGGCGAACACCCCCACCCCTCCGCACGGAGACTCGTGTGTGTGCGCGTGTGTGTGATGGGGGGGAGGGTTTGCTGTCAGCCCCCACAGTCCTGAAACCATGGACTTCATCAGATCCAGGATCTAGGGGATGGATCACCTTCACCCGTTGTCGCCAAGGGAAGATGGATCTCCCCTCACACATCCCAACCAAGAAGTTCTGGAGACCTCCGCACCCCCAAAAGATTTCCAGTGCCCCTGATCTCTTTCCTCCCTTAGTCCTTCCCAGAAGACCTTCCTGATTTTCCTGCCTGGATTCATTGCCTCTATCACTAGCAATCCCACACATATTCTCTCTTCATCTCCTCAGTGCCAGAGCCCAGGGACCCCCCAGGACTTTGCAATCTGTGCCTCGTGGGCACCCACAGGCCAGCACCGGGGAAGCCTCAGAATGGCATCTCCATGAAGTAGCCTGAGCCAAGAGCTCTAAGACCCCTTCCTGCCATGGCAGCCAGGATGCTGTCCTGGGAGGCAGCATTTGGATCGGGCCTTGAAGGATGCAGGATGGGTTCGGAGACCTGGGAAGAGACTGTGTGTGGAGTGGAGAGGGGCTCAGACCAGGGGAAATACGATGTGCGGTGGGAGGGGCCTTGGGGGCCCTGCCGCAGGCTCTCTCCGGTTCTGGGGGCTGAGAGGAATGGCAGGCATACACTTCTTAAGATTCCTGTAAGGTAGGTGTTTGGATCTGAGGTGAAATAAGCTGCACACAGTTCCACCCCTAATTTATATTTGGAGCCGATGCCTCCAGAACTCTGTCTAGCCTACTGCGCTTGGTGCTGCTCACGGAAGAATTTGGGCAGAGCAGGGACAAGATCAGCTTTGCCCTTTAGAGAGGTTCCCCCTGGCAGCTGCGCAGGAGAGGGAGTGCAGAGGAAGAGAGGCAGGTGAGGAGCCCCCAGCGAGGGTGCTGGCAGGAGGGCTGCTGAGATCTTTAGGTGAATATGCCGAGCTTGGGACCTCTGAGACCCCAAGAGAAGGTGGAATGTTCCCAGTTTTGGGAGGAAAACAGATAGGGAGGGGCAGTTATAACTGTGGGTTGGAGGTATCAGCCCATGTAACCTGCATGTAGAATCCACTTGGGCTCTTTGTGACTGCTAATACTGTAAGGAATTTCCCAGGCACTGAGGTTGGTGGAAAGAGACAGAGATAGAGTCAAGCAACAGGCTGTCATCCAGGGTGTTGAGCCTTAAGATTGCCATTGCATACTCGGCTATTGAGGCCAGTGCAGGACTCTGACCCATAGCAAAGCTCAACTCAGTTTCTGCCGATCAGGGAAGCATATGCCCCTCCTTATCTTGCCAGCTCCCTGCCGCGGTTCTGAGGAAACAAGCTTGGAATAGGCAAGAGACAGGGAATGCCTGCATGGGGTTACCCATGGCAGGTTAGAGTTATGCCAAGAAGCTCTGTGGGAAATGAAGCTTGAGGGAGAACCGCTTTGGGTTGACAGGAAAGGATTCCCAGGTAAAAACCAGTATAAGAGGCTTAGGAGCCCTAGCTGTTTTGGCTCAGTGGATAGAGCCTCGGCCTGTGGACTGAAGGGTCCTGGATTCAATCCTGGTCAAGGGTATATGCCTGGGTTGTGGGCTGGACAACCCCCCCCCCCCAGTAGGGGGCATGCCAATCAATGATTCTCATCATTGATGTTTCTATCTCTCCCTCTCAGCCAATCAATGATTCTCTCTCATCATTGATGTTTCTATCTTTCCCTCTCCCTTCCTCTCTGAAATCAATTAAAAATATATATTTTTAAAAAGGCTTAGGAGAGAGTCCTGAGACCCCATTTCCATCCAGAACTCTGGGTACCTGAGTCTGGCTGGGAACCACACACTCTAGGGAAATGGTGGGGCAGAGTTGGCATATGACCAGCCCCAACCTGTGGTCAGAATCTTGTTTCCTGGTTCTCAGAGAAGGTAGTAGTACTGCATGCTTGTATTGTACCTTCGAGTTTACAAAGCACCTTTCCAAACATCACTATCCCCTGTCACTCTCATGATCAACGTGATTACTGACGAGGTTTGCTCACGCTCACACCCAGGCCTCTGGCGCAGCCCCCTTGCCTAGATCTCCAGTCTCACTTCCTTCAGCATATCAACACACTCAAGTTTCTACCATGTTTAATTTTAAAAACAGAAATAAGCCCTTGGGTCCCAAATCACCTAAATGACTGCCTTTTTTGACATTCTTTTAGTAGAGAACCCCCTATCCTTCCCTCCAGACCCCTCTACTCCTGGCTTTGCCTTGCACTACCTTTCTGAAACCATTCTCTCAGGCATGCTCTGCAATCCCAATTCTACCTGGCCCGTCTTTAACACCAGAATTGCACCCACATTCTTTTATTTTTTAAAAATGTATTTTATTGATTTTTTTACAGAGAGGAAGGGATAGGGATAGAGAGTTAGAAACATCAATCAGCTGCCTCCTGCACACTCTCTACTGGGGATGTGCCCACAACCAAGGTACACGCCCTTGACCGGAATCGAACCCTGGACCTTTCAGTCCGCAGCCCGATGCTCTGCCACTGAGCCAAACCTGTTAGGGCTGCACCCACATTCTTGAAAGCCCCCATTTTGTTCTGCGGGGCTTGCCTTCTGGCCTTCCTCCTGCTCCTACACTGTCTCCCAGGCTCCTGAGGCTCTGTTATCCTCGCTAGTGGCTGGGCCCCACCCACACTATCCTTGATTGCTGATGATGCTCAGTCTCTCTCTCTCTTCTTCTTCTTCCCCCCCTCCCTCCTTTCCTCTCCAATATGTGAGAGCGATCTTTCTCTGGTCTTCTCCAAAGTTTACAGTTTACAGCCTATTTTCCCCAACCATTCTCCCCCTATCATATTAAATGTGTCATGCCCACCCTGTTGCCCCCAACCCAGATCCTTCCTTGCCCCCATCCCCTGAACTCCATCTGCATGAAGTTTTGTCAGTTTTTCCTCCCAAATCCTGCCCAGGCCTTCCCGCTGGTTCCAAGCCTCAGGCCACTCAGCCTCCATCCTCAGCCTATACTGTACCAGGGATGGTGAGACAAGGGGGTCATGATTGGGATGGGAGGGGGATTACTGATCTGAGGGGTAGCCAGCTTCGTGTATACTGGGAGTGTACAGGGACTAGGGTGAGGCATGAGAGGCGGGCACCTGGGGCACCCAAGTAAGGAGGTCCCCCCTCTCTCTAGGTCTGAACTTGCTGATCCTGCACTTCGGTTGCGCCCTACGGGACAGATTGGCCCAGAGAGGTAGGTGATAAAGTGCTTTTCTCCACAGTGCTGATCTCAGGATCAGGCGCTGAGAGAGTGGAATTTCACAAAAGCAGTGTGGACTGGCTTGATGGTGAACTTTCCAGCCACCTAGGGCTGTAATTCCTTGGTGTGGCGGCCAGGAGACTCTGAAGGGCAACAGTTTTGTCAGGCTCCGCTGGACACGACCTTAGAAGCGGCCACCTGGGTAGAAGACAGTGTGAGGAATGCTCAAGGGGCTGTGGGGTGCCACCTGGACCCCTTCACCTTGGTAGAGGAGTGCTCTTGGCCTGGTTTCTGATGGCAGTAAGGGCGTCAGAGCCTGAAGGACACTCCCGCCGTCTCTGGCACGCGCGTTTGAGTGTTTACACTGCTGGTAGGCACTAATTGCAGCCCTGCCAGGCTGGATTATTGGGATCTCTGGGGCAGGTGTTCCCAGGTGCGGGCTTGAGACAAAGGAACGAGGAAGCAGGGGCTCCCTGAGCGCAGGTAACCCGAGGCCCTGCTGGCCCTGTTCCTGGGGGCCGGCCTTGGGGGTGGGGAGGGTGCGCGCCCACTGAGGGGCGCGGAGGACTTCACGGAGCACTGAGCAGGGTCAAGGTCCACAGGGAGCGGGGAAGGGGAGTAATCCAGGAAGTCTTCCCCGAGGCCGTGAATTCTTGGGGAGGTTCGGCGGCGCGGGATCTTCCCAGGCTCCGCCGGGTGCCCAGGCCCCGCCCATGCCCGCCCACCTGTGGGCAAGGCCGGCCCTGCGAGAGGCTCGGCGGGCGGGCGCTGCCAGCGGCCGTGCTGTGCGTTCTCCGCCCCGGCCTCTGCCGGCTTGGGGTCCTCCTCCGAGGTACTGGATGCGGGGAGGGGACCCTCCGTGCCTGGCCCCGGGGAGCCCCCGTGGAAAGACCTCTGGGAGGGCTCGTTGGCTATGCGCTGCAGCCGCGGCTCCTGGCTGGCCGCGGGGGCCGGGTCGTGCCGCGGGGCCGGGAGGCGCGCTGCAAAGCTGCTGCTGCTGCCCCCGCCCCCCAACGCCCCAGTCCACTCCTGCGCCTGTCGCCGGAGGGGGGGGGGGTGGCTGGCACGTGGCAGCTCCGCGAGGTAGGTCCTTCATTCCTCCCGTTTCACAGGGAAGAAGACTGCAGTCCAGGATGGCTCTGCCGGTCTGTCCAAAGGCACTCAGCTGGTTCCGGCCGAGCTCCGACTTCCCGAGTGAGGCGCATGACCCCTGCATACCGGGCCTCCAGGGGCCCCAGGCTTGAGGGCCTGCCGTCCCCCACCCCCTTGGAAAGGCCAGGAGAGGAGCCTGTGCTGGTCTAGAGCCTCCACTTCTGCCCTGGACTGCAACACCTTAGGTTAGGATCCCACCCACAGTTTTTGGATAGGGGTGGGTTTCTCTCCTTCCTTTAACTTCTGAGGTTCTCTCGGGATTCACGTTCTGCTGCCCCTTCCAACCCCATCCCCCTGCCCGTGAGGTTGGGATGCAGGGGTCCAGACCCGGGGTTGCAGTAAAGAACTGAGTGGGCCACTGAGTCCGGGAGGCACACGGAGGAGGTGTGGGTGAGCAGTGGAATACAGAGCTGAGCAAATCTGGGAGGGAAGGATGGGTATGGTGTCCTGGGCTCAGGCTTTGTAAGGTGGGCAGCATGCAGCTCCCATTACCAAGGTTATCACTCTACCCAGCCCCGTCCCTTCTCCTTGGGTGTGTGGGAATTCTTGTGTCTGTTTTAGGAAGGGGACACTGAGAGGTAGGATACAGGTGGTGCTGGGGCTGACCGGGCGGGTGTGGTGTGGTGGGGGCATGGGAGTGGTCTGACGGATCCCGCTTTCTCACCTATGCCTGCAGTGCCCCCCACTCTCCCGGTTCAATCATGGCGAAGCTGGAGACACTACCTGTGCGGGCTGACTCAGGGCGGGATCCCCTTCTGGCCTTTGCCCCACGGCCCTCTGAGCTCGGACCCCCAGACCCTCGTCTGGCCATGGGCAGCGTGGGCAGTGGAGTGGCCCACGCCCAGGAGTTCGCCATGAAGAGCGTGGGCACCCGCACAGGGGGTGGGGGCAGCCAGGGCCCTCGAGCTGGAGGCAGTGGGGCCAGCAGGGAGAGGCCAGGCCGCTACCCGTCTGAGGACAAGGCTCTCGCCAACTCCCTCTACCTCAACGGCGAGCTGCGGGGCAGCGACCACACGGACGTCTGTGGCAACGTGGTGGGCAGCAGTGGTGGCAGCAGCAGCAGCAGCAGCAGTGACAAGGCCCCACCACAGTATCGCGAGCCCAGCCACCCACCTAAGCTCCTGGCCACCTCTGGCAAGCTAGACCAGGTCAGTCCCCAGGGCCCTTTCCTGGGGGTGGGAGGTAGCTCGGAGTGGACGGTGAAGTGGACTTCCTTAGAGTTATTTGGGTTGTTGTAGGTGCCAGGATGGAGACTGGACTTGAAGGGTGGGCCGTGGGGGCCAAATCCAGCTGGTGGGTCCAGGACAAAGACTTGGCTTGGGTGGTCCATGAGGTAGACACCCAGCCCTGAGTGACTCCCGGGATGGAGATCAACGAGGGTGGGAAGTGGGGAAGTCTTGTCCAAAGGGAAGAGGCTGGGGTCAAGGCTAAGGCCCCATCCTGATGTCCACTCCCCCTTCTTTGCTTGTACGCAGTGCTCAGAGCCGCTAGTTCGGCCTTCCGCCTTCAAGCCTGTTGTACCCAAGAACTTCCACTCCATGCAGAACTTGTGTCCCCCACAGACCAGCGGGACCCCTGAGGGACGACAGGGTCCTGGGGGCCTCAAGGGTGGACTGGACAAGTCTCGGACCATGACCCCATCGGGCGGGGGTGGGGGCAGCCTCTCAGACTCCGGCCGGAACTCCCTCACAAGCCTGCCCACCTACAGCTCCAACTACAGCCAGCACGTGGCGCCCCTCAGCGCCTCCACCAGCCACATTAACCGCATCGGCACTGCCAGCTACGGCGGTGGCAGTGGCAGTGGCACGGGCAGTAGCGGCGGCGGGTCGGGCTACCAGGACCTGGCCACCTCTGACAGTGGGCGGGCCTCTAGCAAGAGCGGGTCCTCCTCCTCCATGGGGCGGTCTGGCCACCTGGGAGCGGGCGAGGGCGGAGGAGGTGGAGGCCTGCCGTTTTCGGCCTGCTCACCACCCTCGCCCAGTGCTCTGATCCAGGACCTCGAGGAGCGGCTGTGGGAGAAGGAGCAGGAGGTGGCCGCCCTGCGCCGGAGCCTGGAGCAGAGCGAGGTGGCGGTGGCCCAGGTTCTGGAGGAGCGGCAGAAGGCGTGGGAGCGGGAGCTGGCCGAGCTGCGGCAGGGCTGCAGCGGGAAGCTGCAGCAGGTGGCCCGCCGCGCCCAGCGCGCTCAGCAGGGCCTGCAGCTGCAGGTGTTGCGGCTGCAGCAGGACAAGAAGCAGCTGCAGGAGGAGGCAGCCCGGCTGATGCGACAACGGGAAGAGCTCGAGGACAAGGTGGCCGCCTGCCAGAAGGAGCAGGCCGACTTCCTGCCCCGGATGGAGGAAACTAAGTGGGAGGTGCGGGTTGGGGGCTCGGGCCTTCTCCCCGTCTCCTCCTCCCTCTGTCCCTCCAGAGAAACCCAGAGCAGTGGGCCACCCTGATCACCGGGGGAAGGAAAGTTTGGGGTGGGGCACAAGGTTGATTAGCAGTTCCCGTGAGGACCAGAGAGAGCTGTCCCTGGGCTGGGTGGGGTTGGCCGCGTATGTCCTGTGTCTGAGGGGGCCTCGTGTGTCCCTTCTGCCCAGCTTGATGCCCTGGAGAAGCGTGGTACCCGTGGGACTGCATGTGGGAGGCGGGGTGAGGTGAGCAGAGCTCTGCCTTCACCCTGGCTTCTCCCTCCCGTCCCTGCCCAGGTGTGCCAGAAGGCCGGGGAGATTTCCCTCCTGAAGCAGCAGCTGAAGGACTCGCAGGCGGATGTGTCCCAGAAGCTGAGTGAGATCGTGGGGCTGCGCTCCCAGCTGCGGGAGGGCCGGGCCTCGCTGCGGGAGAAGGAGGAGCAGCTGCTCAGCCTGAGGGACTCCTTCAGCAGCAAGCAGGCCAGCCTGGAGCTGGCCGAGGGGGAGCTGCCTGCCGTCAAGCCGGCGCTGACCCCCGCGGACCCCGCCGCCGCCGCCGCTGAGCCGCAGGACGCGCTGGCCTCCTGCGAGAGCGACGAGGCCAAGATGCGCCGGCAGGCGGGCGTGGCCGCCGCCGCCTCCTCCGTCTCCCTGGACGGGGAGGTGGATGCGGGTGGGGAGAGCGGGACGCGGGCCCTGCGGCGGGAGGTGGGGCGGCTGCAGGCCGAGCTGGCAGCCGAGCGGCGAGCCCGGGAGCGCCAGGGGGCCAGCTTCGCGGAGGAGCGCCGCGTGTGGCTGGAGGAGAAGGAGAAGGTCATCGAGTACCAGAAGCAGCTGCAGCTGAGCTACGTGGACATGTACCAGCGCAACCAGCAGCTGGAGCGGCGGCTGCGTGAACGCGGGGCCGCGGGGGGTGCCAGCACACCCACCCCCCAACATGGCGAGGAGAAGAAAGCCTGGACCCCCTCCCGCCTGGAACGCATCGAGTCCACAGAAATCTGATCCCTGATCTGGGCTTGGGACTTTTGACAAATGCCCCGTCAAAGGCCAGAGCCCCCCTGTGTCCCGCCCCCGCCCCCAACATCTCTCTTCCCCAGGTTTCCCGTATCCCCAGACCAAAGAGGTTCTCAAAGCAGCTGTGACCAGGTCCCTTCCCTTCCTGCACTGAGTGCCCTCCTAGCTCTACTGTTGTCCCTCTGGGCAACCCACTGGGCCCTCCTCCCAAAGAGGGAACAGCGAGAGGGCAAAGCGAGCGAGCGAGCGAGCGGGGATTAGGGCCCGGGCTCCCTTTGTTGGCACTCCCTTGTTGGAGATGGAGGTGGCAGGCCTGTGTGCCCTGAGGTGCCCCAGCCCCTCGTGGGGTTGGCTACTCTGTGTCCAGTAATGTTCGCTGTGCTCGCCTCCTAGGCCATGTAACCTGAGGGGGTCTGCTGAAACTGATAGGCCTTGGGCTCCTGGTCGCTCTCCTTCCTGCACTATTCTCCCTTCCTGGGCAGATGGGCAGGACAAGTGGGAGCAGATGGCCTGCCTGCGGTTGAGAGGGCTACCTGCCCAGCCCCTCCCCACCAAGGTCTCTTGGGCTCAGGCCTCAGAGCCTGGCTTGGTCTGAGTGTGTGTCCATAAGTGTGCGTTGAGGGAGGGTAGGGCTGGGGCTGGAGGCCCAGTGGGTCCAGGAAAGATTTGCCCTCCTGTTCCTGGAAGGGTCACCTGGAGGCTTCTAAGCACTCCCTCCCCACACCCCTTCCAGGCCACAATCCAAGGGCAATAGCCTCACCTGATTGGCTTGCCCCACACACAGGGCCACTGTCTGGTTCTAACTACAGCTATTAAGTGCTACCTGCCTCTCAGGCACTCCCTCACCCAGTCCTGAGGTCATGAGTGTCTGTGATGTCTTTCCCACTCCATTCCCCCAGCCTCTTGCTTTCAGCTCAGAACATCGTTGTCACCTCTTCCCTCAAAACTCACCTTCTCTTCCAGTAGAAATTTCTGCTTGATATTTGGTGCATTCACTGCCCACTTCCAAGCTCCACTGGGCCCAAACCTGAGCCTGAGGCCCTGGTTTTGGGGGCGGAGGGTGTGATTGCCCTTGAATGACAAGGCTGACGTTTGGGTTCCCAGGGCCCTGAGGTAGTCCAGGGAAGGCCTGCCATGGCCATCCGTGGGGTTGGGGCAGCCAACGTGACTTCCTCCTCTGTGGGCCCTCTGAGAGTCCATCTCCCCAAGGTAGGAAGGGAAAGGCAAATTTCTAATTCACCAGCAATAAAAATTGGAGGAGGCTTGGCCCTTAGCCCTTGTATTTCTCTCTTTTTCACTCTCTTTCTCCCGCCCCCAAGACTAGGTTTGGGGACAGGGTGGAGAGAGCTGGCAACTACTGTGAGCAAGTCCTCTAACCCCTGACCAGCTTCCTCCCATGACTGGTGACTGTTTAACAAGCTGTGCATCCCCTATGAAATCAGGAGTGCCTCTCCGGGTGGCCTCTATCTCTTTGCACAGCCCCTTCCTGTGGCCCTCACCAGATCTCTGGGTTGGGGGCCCATTCTGGCAATCACTGCCGATTCCACTCACCCCTCAGTGTACCTGTCCCAGAATCTGGGCCTGGGCCAGAGGGGCAGGGGGAAGAGAAGGCATTAGTAGGAAAAAAAAAATTTTAAAATAAAAAAATATATATTAACAGACTCAGCTTTGGGACTTCCAACTACAAAATAAATTATATATAAATATAAATATATATATAAATATATATCTCTACCATATGTGATGGAAAGACTTTGTTTTCTTTTCCCAAAGAAATAAAATGGAGAAAGCCTCTTGAGCGGCATTCTTTGACCTCTTTGTGTCTTTGCAGGTGAGGGGGTGTGGAGGGCAAAGCTGGAGTAAACATATCCCAGAGGAGCCATAGGCATGCTCACTGGACCATGCCAAGAGGTTGGCTCCAAGTCCACGCTCCTCCATGTTGCCCAGGAGGAGTCGTGGTCCCACAGTTCTGGCCAGTGGGGTATTCTCTTCAGAGTTTCAAGCTGGTTCCAAGGCTGCTGGCCAAAAAGAGATGATGCAGGATAGCTTGATGCAGCCTGTGTGGCCTGAGCCACCTTATAGCAATGGGCTGATGTTTGAGGGGAGAATACATATTAATGAAGTCTAAGAACCAGTTTGTAATTAGTGAGGCAGAAATGACTCAAGTGTGCTGCAGGAAGGGAGTCATTCTTTGAGGTTAAGTGATGTCTTTTATTATTTTATTTTTTTTCCTGATCACCAAAGTAACCTTTATTTTTTTTAATTTTTATTAATAAACCTTTATTGTTCATAGTGATGTCTTTTATGATAATTTTTTTGGCACCCTTATACCCCCCCCCCCCCAATCAAGAATGTATTAGGCGCCCTGGCCAGTATGACTCAGTTGTTTGAGGGTTGTCCCATGCACTGAGGTTGCCAGTAGATTTCCATGCCTGGATTGCAGGCTTGATCCCCAATAGGGGGCGTGCAGGAGGCAGCTTATGGATGTTTTGACAGTGTTTCTCTCCCTCTCTAAAATATATATATATATATATATATATATATATATATATATATATATATATATATATTTTTTTTTTTTTTTTTTTAAGAGATGCCATAGTTCAGATTCTAAAAAAAGACTATTATGCTACAAGCAACCCAACCTGAATTACAGGCTTATTTTTTCTAACCTGACAAGTCTGGTAGGCATTCTACGTGTCATAGGTGTTGGTTCATCAAGGACTCAGACTGTTCATCCTCTTACTTTCATATTCTTGCTGTTTACACCATGCCACAGGTGGCTGCCACAGCTCCAAGAAGGCATTGAGACAGCACTACTTTATCATGAAAGTAAAAGCTTTCCCAGAACCCTACTAGCATGTGTTCCTTTAAATTTTGTTTGCCAAAAATTAAAATTCTTTCCATTTTAAGTGAGGCTGGGACATTGAGTATTTGTCAAGGAACAATAGGATTGCCTTGGCTTCCTCTGAGTAATGTGTGTGGTCCATCCCCTGGGGTTGAGCCCCCTGCTCTCTCTGGGTTCTACAGACAAAGACAGAATCATAATCAACAATTAACTGTGTGCCCTGATCTGGCCCAAGTGAGAGTACCTACCTGAGCAGTGGTGTCAGTGGTCTGAGGCCCCAAATGTTCAGACCTCTGCAGAGCTCAGGAGTTGGAATGCCAGGCTTGTCCACCTCTTCCCTTGCAGTGAAGTATCCTGCCTACATTAGTTTTGTCTCGGGTCTCCTTTGTAGCCCTTAAGATGAGTGGATGAGCCTGGCTGGCATGGCCCAGTGGTTGAGCCTGGACCTATTAACCGTGAGGTCATAGTTCCATTCCCAGTCAGGGCACATAGCCAGGTTGCAGGCTCAATCCCCAGTGTGGATCCCCACTGTAGGAGGCAGTAGATCAATAATTCTTTCTCATCATTGATGTTCCTATCTCTTTCCCTCTCCCTTCCTCTTTCTTGAATGAATGAATGAATGGATGAGCAGCCAAGGCACTGACAAGGTATGATGATCCTGACCAGCAGCTCTCCAGTGCCCCCAGGAAAGGCTGTCTAGGGCCAGGCCCTTCTGAAAGATCTCGATGGAGACTCTTCCTTGCCTAGTTTTTTCCATACCGTCTCAGGTATGAGCTTTCTACTTAGGAAGGTGGAGGACCACCCTGGCTCCTCCATCATAGGACTGCCCTCCTCAAGCTCCAGCTCCTCACATCCATTTCTCCATCTATCCATCACTAACTCTTCTCTTGGGAGAACTTTATGATTACATTTATTTTAAATGGATCATTTTCCTCATTGCATAGCCAAGAAATTGGGCTTAGAGAGTTTATGTGATTTTCCCTGAGAAAAATCAGGGAAAAGACTTAACACCCTGAGGAGTGGTCGGGATTCGAACCTGGGCCTTGGCTATTAAATTACTTTCAGAGTGGTGTGTCTTTGGCTTATCCCGAGGAGCTGGTAGGCAAGTTCTTTAGCATCAGCCAAGTTCTAGATTCCCCCGATTCCTCAACATCGTCCTTTAGTGGAAATCGTCAGTGGAAAACGTCCTTGAAAAACGCTAACAGTCTTTTGAGCCTCGGCCGCACCCGTCCTTCGCGTATCAACCGGAAGTAGCGGGCAGTTGGCCGGAAGTGGGGCTGTGAGGGGCAGGTGTACCTGGAGAAGTCGCCGTGTAGCCGCGCTCCGCGGGGTCTGTGATCTGTGATTGCGGTGTCCGTGCAGGCCGGGCCCAGGTGAGTGGCGGCGGCTGGGTAGAAGGGCGCATCGGCCTCTCCGTGCAAACCTGGCCCGCGCGCGCAGAAGCCGTGCCTCCCCGCACTTCTCCGTGGGTGTGACGGGCGCTTCTCACAGGCCCGGCTCTGGAGAGAACATTGGCGACCCCAACCGCCCCGGAGTTCTGTGACCTGGCGAGCGGCTTACCCGAACCTGTGTTTTTGAGCTGTGAGCCAGAGAGAATAACAGTGCTTGTCTCACAGGCCTGTGGTGAGAGTGTAGCGAGATGCACCTCCTCCCACTTCAGTGTGCGTGCGGGTCCCGTGGGGATCCTGAAGATTCCGATTTTGTAGGTCGGGTGGGGCCTGTGATTCGTTTTCTTACCGTTTAGCTTCCCTGGTGAGTCTGATGCGGCTGTTCCTCAGTATTTTGAGCAGTATTTTGCTTAGTATCAGGGATGGGGTGAGTCTTTAATATCAAACGGTGTTTTCTTGTGCTGTGTTTTTAAGTTTCAGGTTGCACAAGCCTAACTAAGGATAGTATTGAGCCCCACTCCCTTTTTTCTCTCCAGGAGTAAGACAAATGATTACCTTTTCTCTTCATGTACAAACCATGACACAGCTCTTCAGGAAGTTTGGGCCCTGCCTATGCCAGTTAGGTTCTACTGAGGTGATACTTCATTGCTCACTCGCTGTGGATCCTCGGATAGCGCTCATCCCTTGGAGCTGGTAGCCAAGTTCTTTAGCACAGCTCATGTTTTATGCTTTAGTTATGTGCTGCTGCTGTGATATGATTGCATGTTTTCTGTACTTTGGGCACACTGTGAGTAGTTATAACAGCTACCTTTCCAGAACTAGATTCTGCAACTCACTGCTCGGAATGGCACTGGGATGACTTTACTACTGCCTGATAGGACAAAATGAAACCTGAACCGGGCCCCGGGGCTGGGAAGGAGACCTCCCCCCAAACCCCCAGACCCAGGGGTAGGTGGCTGTGGACTTGGCCCCTTTACCAGGGGGGCTAAGGATCGACTCCCTCCTCCCCTCTCCCCCCCCCTTTTTTTTTTTTTTTTACTAAAAACAAAACCCCCTGCCGAAGCCGGTTTGGCTCAGTGGTAGAGCGTCGGTCTGCGGACTGAAAGGTCCCAGGTTCGATTCCGGTCAAGGGCATGTACCTTGGTTGCGGGCACCCCCCCCCCCCCCCCCGTAGGGGGTGTGCAGGAGGCATCTGGTCGATGTTTCTCTCTCATCGACGTTTCTAGCTCTCTATCTCCCTTTCTCTCTGTTAAAAATCAATAAAATATCGATGTATTTTTTTAAAATGTTAGATATTTCTCTTAGTAACATTAAAAAAAAACACAAAAAAACCCTGAAGACTCAGTGCCATATACAGTACAACTGAGAAAGTGAGACCTTTGTTAATTATACAGCTCTAATTTGTCAGTTTGGCTTTCTTCCTGATTCATTGGCTTATTTTTCTTTCTCTTACTCCCCCCCCCCCCCCCCCGAATTATTTTTCTATTCCCCTTGTCATTCATTATGTAAGTAAGTCAACTTTGATATTGAAGAATTTGGAACTTCCCCCTTCACTTGCCTGAAATACTGTATTGTGCAGCCTTGCAAATTTAGGAAAACTGATATAAAATCAAGTGTGTGATGGAGTTAACACTGATAGGTACTTGGACCATTTATTTGGGAATTTTCCCACATAACTGGGTACAGCTACTTCTCTCTACCTGCATGGGTTTTGTCATTTCTCTGCTAGTCCCATTCAGATGGGCTGAGAGAACATGGGTTTCTGCTTTTTGTTACAGTCAGAGATTGTTTAACGATGAGTCTTGGCTCTAACAGAATTATCTGTGAGGCCTTGCCAGACTATATCTACCCCAGACCTTTCTTGTCATTCTGATAGAGAAAAAGTAGTTTTTAGAAGGGGAGGAGAAGGCTAAGAACGCTAAAAGAGTTTCACAGATTATTGTGATGTGCTGTTTTCTCACCCATAAGCATGGAACCTAGAATGAAGTAGAGGGGATAGGCTTGTTAGACTTGATTTTGGTTTGCACGAGTGCTTTACCTTCCTGTAAGCTGTGTTCCTGTGTGGAAATAAGCATAGAAGCATCTAGCCCAGTTAGCATCTCTATTAACAGCTAGGGGTCCATACTGTCAGCCCCTAAACCCTCACCATGGGCTTAAAGCTTTGTAAACTGATCAGGAGACTCCAGCACCTAGAAAAAGTTAGTTGTTTTAATTCTTAGGGTTGCCCAATAAATTATTTACTAAGAAGAATAGGTTTTGAAGTATCCATTTATTTGTGGCAATTTTATCAGGATATAAGAGGTTTAAACCTTTCTAGCAGAAAGATCAGAAATCAGAATTAAGGAATGAGATCTGATAACTGGTAAATTGAAAATGCTGAGAGTGTTATATACTTAATCTACAGTTAGCATGGCTGCCTTCTTCCACCTGGCTCTCTAACTCCTGGACTGTAGTTTAAAGCGAAGCTATTCGGCCTTGCTCAGACCTGTACCTGGAAAACAGAAAGGTAAGAACCTCACTCCTGTGAAATCACATGATTCAGGGTGATTTGGGCAGTGCTGTTCAGAACAGCCATGCTCCAGGGGTCTCCAGGGTCCACTCTGGTTCGTAAGAAACCCTAAAGAGAAGGTAGGAAGCAGGGTATACTTGGGGCACTTAAACTAGGAAAGGGGCTTTGTGAAATGATGCCACATATCTTTGAGTCTTCATAGAGGCATCAGGAGTTGTTGGGCATCTCATGGTGTTCTCGGCTTTCTTAGGGATTCTCTCGGAGTCCTTAAGTAAGGAAGAACTAACTCAGCTGTGTTCTCTTACCTGGGTGACACATCCTTACCTCCTTTCTCCCCACATTTTGCTTTGTTAGTTCTGTATCGTATTTTTTTCCTTTTTTGCAGATATAAGACCCAACTTCCGAAGTAGTTACATTTCATACCTGTATATAGAGATATTAGAGGCCCAGTGCCCAAAATTCGGGGTGGGGGGAGTCTCTTCAGCCCAGCTTGCATCCTCTCCAATCTGGGACCCCTTGGGATATGTCTGACTGTTGATTTAGGCCCGATCCTGCAGGGCTCCTAATTGCTTGCCTAATCACCTCTAACTGCTCCTCCCCCACCACCAGCCTGATCGCCCCTCACTGCCTCTGCGTGCTGGCCTGATTGTCCCTAACTTACCCCCCTGCCAGCCTGGTCGCCCTTAACTGCTATCCTCAACCCCACCCCTGCTGCCGGCCAGGTCACCCCCAACTGCCTTCCCCCACTGGCCTGACCACCCCTCACAGTCCCCCAGCTGGCCAGGTCGCCCCCAACTGCCCCTCCCTCCCTGCAGGCCTGGTCGCCCCTAACTGCCCCCTCCCTGCTGGCCTGGTCACCCCCAATTGCCCCTCCTTCTGGCCTTGTCACCGCCTACTGCCCCCCTCCCCTGCCAACTTGGTCACCCCTCACAGCCCCCCGGCCAGCCTGGTAGTCCCACATAGCCTGCTGTTCAGTTGTTTGGTTGTTCCCTCACTAATCCCTCTGTGGCCTGGTCCCCCCACGGAGCCTGCTTGTGAGGGTATGACAGTCAATTTGCATATTACAGCTTTATTATATAGGATGGTGTGTGTGCACTTAACACTAAAAGTTCTGTGATGAAAAAGTAAGTAGCTACTGTTTGTTTATCTGCAGTTTGGCTCTGCATGCCTCTAAGATTATTCTGTTATCATTTCTGCCCATTCCGTGGGCATCCATAAAGAAATTCTAGAGACAGTAAAAAGTGCTTGCACTGGGAATAACTTTTCAACATTTTCCTTGAATATTAAGGTTACTTTCTCTATTCACTGATTATCTTCTCTTTTTTTTTAAAGATGAGTTTTGTTTTTAAAAATATATATGTTTTATTGAGTTTTTACAGAGAGGAAGGGAGAAGGATAGAGAGTTAGAAACATTGATGAGAGAAAAAGAAATATCAATCAGCTGCCTCCTGCACACCCCCTTCTGGGGATGTGCCTGCAACCAAGGTACATGCCCTTGACCGGAATAAAACCCAAGACCCTTCAGTCCACAGGCTGACACTCTATTCACTGAGCCAAAATGGTTTTGGCTGATTATCTTCTTGATGAATACTTTAATCTCCTGTTAGCACATGCATTTTGTAAATTTAAATTTTGTCAGTTATATATGGATATGGTTTACATAGTCAAATAGTTTGATAGAGCTTATAACACTAAATAGTAATTTCCTCTTTCTCTCCTTTTAATTTTGTTTCCTAGAGGCACTTTCAACTGTGTGTCTGTTTCTTTGAGCATTTATCGGTATACTAGAGACCCAGTGCATGAAATTTGTGGGCAGGGGTGGGGGGTGCGTCTCTCAGCCTGACCTGTACCCTCTCCAATCTGGGAGCCCTCAGGGGATGTCCAACTGCCAGTTTAGGCCCAATCCCTGGGTCTTGAAATCTGGGACATCTGGCTCCTAACTGCTCACCTGCCTGCCTGTCCTAACCACTCTGCCTGATCCCCCTAACTGCCTTCTCCTGCCGGCCTGGTCACCTCTTCACTTTTTTTTTTTTTTTTTTTTTTTTTTAATATTATCCCCTTCACACACAATTATATTTGACTTCCTTATTGTCTTCTCCCTGTCACACAATTTTTCTCTCTCCTTTATACAACACTTTTTCCTTCTGACTCATCATTTATAAACTTTTCTTTCCTCCTTATTTCCTACTTCTGTTCCATCATCTTTCTTCCCATCTTTCTCCTATCTTCCCTCCCTCCCCACATTCCTTCTTTCCTTTATCTTTACTCCTTCTTTCCCTCCCCTTTTCCTTCCCACCTTAATTTTTTTCTTCACTTCCTCCTCGGACCTGCTTTGCTCCCTCCCCTATTTCTTCCTCCCCATTCTCCTTTTAAGCTCTATCGGCTCCCCTTTAAAACTTTTCTTCCCTCCCTCTTTTTCTCTCATCCACATTCTTCTCTACTTCCACTGTTTTAATACCTAAATACCTGCCTAATT